CAAGTGCAATCTAATCGGCCTTTGCTTCTGAAACGGAGAATCTTCAAAAAATCTTTAGTCATGCAAACTACACTCTTATCGCAGGTCTTCAATTTTCGGGTTAATAAGATTTATTAACTTCAATTAAGTTTTTAAATGAAATTTTTTATCCGTAAATAATTATTGACTCAATATTTCCTAATTTGTTCCTCGTGGGAAACAGGTGAGATGTTCCAGAGGCTTTTGTTGTATATTAATTTGCAAAGAATTTGCAAGGGGCTCTGGTATGGCTTAAGGACAATTCCCCATATACAAGGAATAGGGTCACCAGGCCACATGAGAAACCCCGCGGCATGATCCATATTACAGCTTAAGTTTGAAAAATAGCAATCCTGCGGTAAGCTAGTGGAATTCTTGGAAAGCAGAACGGGAAATGCGAGAGGAGAAATGATGCCAGTGGTCGGTCAGAAGTCTCGAGCATTATGGCTCGGCGGCACGTCTTCTCGCAAACGGCGATCCATCGACTGATGCGACGCGCCCAGACACCTATTCAGAAGTCAAGTCTGGTCACGACTCGGAGGTCCGCGAGAGAATGGGTGCCCTGGTTGCTATGAGGGAAGGCTTATTCTAGGACGCGTGACGAACCTGCGTCGCAGTGGAGGAGCTGAACCGGAGCAGTGATAGCTAATGGTGGATGTGTGCGTTCCTGTACTGGTAGTAAATGACTGACTAGGATACATGTATGAGTGGCATAGTTAGATGATCTGTGATGTAGTTCATACATACGACGACTCACGTCGAGGTTATACTAGGACTGAGATAGTTATTCTATTCTGAGATCACGAGACAGGGAATACATGATAATAATATGACGGAGTAATATGATCTGTAGTATATATTATAGCTATATAGTATAGTGAGGTGTTCACTCGCGACTTCTCAGCACTAAGAAATATTGAATTGAACAAGATTAACATGGTATTATTTATAAAAAATTCATTATGCAACCATCTATACTATTCATGGTAGTAGTATAATATATATGAGATATATCCTAGCTAGGTACCGTTAAGGAATTAGTCTATTGTGATGTGTACGAGGGAGTTCGTACTCGATCGGTATGAAGGAACTGCTTGCAGACAACGTCACAGATATAGTACTGCTAGTTGTTGTGGACAAACGCGTATATATACAGTTCATGAGATAGTTATCAAGTCATACTATATGTCTATAAACGAAGAATTATCAAATTATTATAGTAGCAGATGTTGAGTACTAGGGTTCGAGGTAAATAGTATAGTTATCAGGAGGATATGCACACTACATCATTAGATAGCGATATAAAGGATGTATCATGATCGAGCTAATTAGATTAAGTAGTGTCATGATAATTCTTTTCTACTACTCGAAATAGAGATACGTGCAGATGTAGTTTGAGCATCGCATGATACACTACGACATAAGTAATCTGTAGATAGTGATGATGTACTGAATAGTATGTTGTGTTGTGTAGTATGCTGCTGTCGTGTTGACACACAAGACAGCAAAGGCACACGACTTACAGCATGATGTCTACACACTTGTAGCTATCGCTATCGATCCAGGAAGTGTACAATGAAATGAGAGGAATAATCATGGATTTAGAAAATTGGATTATTACTTTGTATACTAAGATAATATATGTACTTCATAGAGGAGTCATCATATATAGCTCGCATCGTGCTGCTGTGGTCGTGTAGTATTCGACGCGCTGACAGCACGCTGACCTGTTAGGAGAATCGGATTAGTCATCGTTATTTATTCATTTAAGGACTCTGCATGGACCACCGCGGCACACACGAGCACACCACCCTTCCATCCACATCGCACACCTATTAGGCCTCCCGGCTCCAATTATAACCTATATTTTATATATATTTGCAAAATTTCTAAGATATATTCTCCTTTACGCTTGCTTCTTCGAGTCGCATTTATGCGGTCATAAAGCCGAATTGTTGGATATGATAATGCCCTGGTATGACACAGAAGTATATGGGCATAGCGCTTGGGAGAACTGTGTGTGTTTATTTTACTTTGGTGAGGATGAAGCCCACGCTTGGAGAGAGAGAGGGAGACGAAGGAGGGCAGAAGGTTGTGGGAGTGCGAGAGAGAGAGAGGAGCAGAGAATTAGTTATTATTAGAAAGTATATATATTTGAGTTAAGATATATTATAGAGTGAGAAATAACTTAAATAAGAAAGGATAGGTGGTGGATAGATAGACCAAGTCAGTTAGATAAAGATTAGCTTGGAGAATGAAGTGAGATAGCAAAGGTTGTTATTAGGATTGGAATTTTTATATGAGATACTGTAGGTGAGTTTTAAAATGCGAGTTAATTACCTTTTCATAATTTGGTCTATACTTGCTTCTACTGTCCCATAAGAGGAGTAAGTGTGTATACTTTATGTTTTCTATATTCAGTTCAAAAACTTTATTTTAATAATAGCGGAAAGCCGTATCCTTCATTTTGAATGTTCTATTTTTTCGTATAATATTATATATATATATATATATATATATATATATATATATATATATATATTATATATATATCCAAAAAAGTCTGATAATAACTTTACTATTATTTCCATTATAATTGTTTGTGTTCTTTTTATCATTATTATTAAATTCATTGCTGTCAATACCATAATGATTATTGTTATTATGATTATGATATGATTATTATCATTATCATATTTATCATTTTTATTGTGATTATTATTATTACTATTACTACTACTAATACTATTATTATCATTGTCATTATTGCCAATATTATTTTAACATAATCTATATTATCATTATTATTATGCTTGTTATTTCCATTATTGTTGTCATTGTTGTTATTACTACCATTATCCTTATCATTGTAATTATCATTACCATTATTATCATAATTATCATTACCATTATTATCATAATTATCATTACCATTATTATCATAATTATCATTGCTATTAACATCATTTGTATCCTCTTTATTCTCATTGTTATTGTTTATTATTATTGTTGTGATTATCATTACTATCATCACTACTAAAATTACTATCATTACTATTATCATCAGTCATCATTATCATTTTTATCATTATTACTATTATCAGTATTATTACTGTCATGCATATTTAACTGTTATAATTATCATGATTATCATTGTCATTATTGTCATTATTTCTATCATCTTTCAGCATTATCATTACCATCATTATCAATTTTATTACAATTACTATCATTATAATTATTAGAATTATCAATATTTCATCATGATCATTATTATTATTCATTAATTTATCATCGTTATTATCATTACTATTCTTATCATTAACATTAGTGTTATCATTTCCTTTTATCATTATTAACATTGCCATTATTCCTATTATTTTTCCATTAACATCATTCATTTTATCATCATTTTTACAATTTACCAATAATATTCTTTATCTTTTTATCATGATCACCATCATTCAATAATATTCTTGATATTTTTTATCATGAACAACATCTTCATCAATCATTATCATGATTATTATGGAAATAATGATAATTATAATAATGATGATCATCACTGTCATTATCATTACCATTATTTTTATCTTGATCACCATCATTATTATCATTACTCTTATTACTATCATCATCATTTCTATTATAATTGTTATTATCATTTTCATTTTCATTATCACCATTATCCTTATTTTTACTACTGCAATCATTATTTTAATCATCAAGGTTGCAAGACTAACCCCAAGCTCACCTCACACAAAATTTATTAGCATCATTTTTATTTGTAATACCATAACATACGAAATAAGGCCAAGTGAACGACTATACAAAATTAATATAAAAATAATAAAATGAAATAGAATAATCAAAAACAAAAGAATGCCGTACTGGCAAATGCAATAATACAATCTTTACCAAATAAAGGAAAACTGGTGAAGTGAGCTGACATAAAATAACATAAGGTAAGGCTACACTAATAACAATTTGAAAAGGTACAAATAAACATAAAAGTCCCATTTCTAACATAAATTAAGTACATAAAAAGGTAAACAGTTAATAAAGTCAGTACACTTCCAACGTGCAGAATTAACAAACTATATCACTTTGAGATGCATGGGATTAAATACATAAAAGAAACGATGGTATAAATAAAAAGTAAAACATAAAATCAACAAAAGTAGGTGTTATTTCAATTTCTAAAAATGAAACCGCTCACTGCTGCCAGTTCAGTCCCAAGAGGATCACAATTAATATACAACTCACGTTAACCACTCTCCTTATATAGGAACTTAGTGATGGAGCATTAAATACCAAGGAATATGAAACGAAGATGGTAACTTTTGCTAGCTTTGGTTATGATGTTTTTGGGACGCCTCTCGAAAGCGACCACTAATAAGAGTAGGGTTCTATTCAACAAACTAAAAAATATAGAATATGTGTATGATAAGAACAAATTTACCACACGACACAGGATAATAATCACACACCATACCGTCACTATAAACTATCAAAATAAATAAATAAGTAAGCGAAAATTGTCTTACCTTACCAGCCAAGAGTTCGCAGCGCAATGAACCTAAGCTGGTGTATCTCAACTGATTCGTTCAAACGATTCGACCAGTAGCCAAACCGAACCCCGAGCCTTATTCGCACAAGCCACTGACGAGAATATAATAAACGAAAGGAAAAGAAGAAACTTTCCTTTACATATTTATACATTTGATATGCGTACCATAGTATTGAGAATTTATAGGAACGGAAGGCATTTCTAGGTAATATTAATCTATATATAGAGGCCGTTTACCGACCTCTGTAATAGTATATCTATGAAAACGGCCACATTGAGGAAAGAAAATAAATGTAACGTTTCGAACACTTTCCAAGTTCTTCAGACAAATAATCAACCGAAATGTTTACAAAAAATAATAATTTTGACAAGTTTATATTGAGGTAGAAAGACGGAACGAACAAGACCTGAATCAGATCTCAGGAGGCTCAAGGTCGAAGAGTCTGGGGAAGGCTCAGCTAACTAACGATGAGGTAAGATCATCTAACCCCATTGGCCAGCACTCAAGTTAAGATTGGGCATTTTTCTCTCATAAGAATTTGACGATTTATGAATTAAATTGGCGTCTTTCCAGTTCAACTGATGTCCTTCGTCACGCAAGTGAATAAAACAAGTATTAGATTATCTGGCGTATCAAATATCACGTCTCTCTCATTATTCATATTTTTTTTCAAAAGCTCTACCGATTTCGCTTATGTAAAATATCGGGCAATCCTTACAAGGAATCGTGTAAATACCTGTAATTATCAAGAGCACCGCTGGCTGCTTAATGCCTAACCAAAGTAATACGTAACCAGTTCGGATAAGCGAAAACAATGCCAATGCCAGCTCCTTTAAACATACGACGTTTTTCACCGAGTGACGGATTTTGCGGAATAATTTGCGGAATCCTGTTGCGTGTTTGATCGTGGCATTTTAATTTCACAGAAGAATGTGCCAGATTTAAGAAAAACGAGGATATCCTAGTGTCGAAAATGATTTTTTAGACATTGAGTTTATGTAAGTGTGTACAAGTATGTATGTTTAGAAACAAACAAAAAAATACAATAATAGAAAAAAAACACGAAGCACGTATTTTAATTTTAAAAAATAGCCAAATGAAACCCCCTTCCCCCTCCCCTCACCCTCCACCCGCCCCTTTTAATCTAAGTGTGTAACCAATGGGCGGTAATTTTACTGGAATAGATGGGCGGCAGCATGTTATAAGCTCATTAAAATATGGTCTTTGACGTAGGTAGCATTTTCGTATTTGGTAAAGTGTTATTTACTTATTTTTATGATCATTTTTTGTTGTGTTTTACATTTATTTCATGCCTACGAAAGCGATTGAAATTGAAAGTTTATGGTTTTAATTTTCTTAGTTCAAGAGGGATATAAAACCCCCTCTCCGTATTATCTTTCTGTCGTTTACATATAATTTTCTATTAGGATTTACATAATTCATAATTCATATCTCTATGAACTAGATTTACCTGTATCCTCGTCCTCCTGAGTAAATAAATGAACACGACCCTATTTCTGCAGCTAGACAGCAGTCGCGTTCTTTAAGAGGAGCTCGTAGGTGATCGGGCAGGACAGTCTGGCCGCGACGTCGAAGTGGCTCTCGGACCCCGCGCGGAAGCCGATGTCCTTGCTGAGGCTGGTGAACGTGTGCAGGACGTACGTGCCGTTGAATCTCTGAGGAAACGAAGGAATGGTCGTGGGTACGTACGATGCTCTCTTTTAATATGTATGTGTACATACCTGTGCACATTTCCATATGTGCAGAGTCTGTACTTACTAACAACACACACACACACACACACACATATATATATATATATATATATATATATATATATATATATATATATATATATATAGTATGTATATATATATATATATATATATATATATATATATATATATATATATATTATATATATATATGTATATATATATATATATATATATATATATATATATATATATATATATATAATCATACACATATGTATGTGTGTAGTCATTATCATTACTATCAATGTCATTATTACTATTATTATTATTATTACTGTTGTTATCACTATTGTTGTTATGATTATTATAGATATTACTATTGCTATTGTTATCACTATCATTACTATTAAAGAAAGATGGAATAATGCGCTGCCCGCACTTTTTTTTCCAATTTGAGCTAATCAGACATTTATAAACCTGATTTTTTTTCGAATTCCAACCAATTAGACACACACACACACACACACACACACATATATATATATATATATATATGTGTGTGTGTGTGTGTGTGTGTGTGTGTGTATACCTACTCCTTTCCACTGGAACCTACAAGCCTAATCCCCACTGCGACCTCACCCAAAGGAAACACTCATTCCTCAACCCCAGCGTCAGACACTTCCTCGCTTCCAGTCCGATCCTTCGGACTCTCACCTGGCCAAGTCCTTCCTTCTCCTTCCTCTCCCGCCAGCCACTCAACCAAGTCCCTCCCAATCCCAGCCAGTCGGCCACTGACTCTGGCGATCTCCCTTCCAATCCTCCGGCCAACAGGACCCTCCCGCCCTCCCAATCCCAGCTACTCACCTTGGCGAAGTCCCTGCCCTCCCCCGGGGCGAAGATGTCCTTGGAGTCGTAGAAATGAACGGGCGTGAGGAAGCGTGGGGGAAGCAGCTGGAAGTCGCCGCAGCTCACGGGCGTCGCGCTTTCGGCGGGCCTGGTCAGGTCCTCGCCGCAGAGTCGTCGCGCCGTCTTGGTGAACGACAGAGGACCCACAGATCCCCATACGTTGGGCTTATGGTTTCGAAGACAGTTAATGGTTGTGTGTTTTTGTTGTTGCTTAGATTCGCGGGTTATTTTATTTACGTTTTACAATAACTCTGGCATACTTACTTATAAAGAAATTATGGACTATAGAATAATTACCCTACAGCAAGCTAGTTAATTTGTTTATTCTAAAAAGTTAAATAGTATTAGATTGTGCAAAGGCAAAAGCACGATACGTGAATATTTTTATTTGTAATTCTTAAAAAAAAGTATTGAAAAAATGGCCAAGTATTTTGATAGTGAATCAAAAGTGGCCACCAAGTTTTCTATGTCGTCACTGATATGGGGGTGACCTTAAAGAACTGTAATATTGGAATACTGCTGTTCGTACCTGGATTAATTTGCTTTAATCTTTGCAGTCGACAGGTCACATATGTCGGAAACAGGACAGACTGGGCCATAGTTAACAGACTGGGCCATAGTTAACAGACTGGGCCATAGTTAACAACCTGAGCCATAGTTAACAGACTGGGCCATAGTTAACAGACTGGCTACAGACCCATAGTTAACAGACTGGGCATAGTTAACATAGTTAACAGACAAGAACAGACTGGGCCATAGTTAACAGACTGGGCCATAGTTAACAGACTGGGGGCCATAGTTAACAGGGCCATAGTTAACAGACTGGGCCATAGTTAACAGACAGGGCCATAGTTAACAGACTGGGCCATAGTTAACAGACTGGGCCATAGTTAAACAGACAGGGCCATAGTTAACAGACTGGCCATAGTTAACAGACTGGGCCATAGTTAACAGGCCAGTTAACAGACAGGGCCATAGTTAACAGACAGAGCCATAGTTAACAGACAGGGCCATAGTTAACAGACAGGGCCATAGTTAACAGACTGGGCCATAGGACAGGCCATAGCAGAACTGGGCCATAGTTAACAGACAGGGCCATTAAACAGACTGGGCCATAGTAAGACAGGGCCATAGTTAACAGACTTAGTTAACAGACTTAGTTAACAGACTGGGCCATAGTTAACAGACAGGGCCATAGTTAACAGACAAGACATTAGTTAACAGACAAGGCCATAGTTAACAGACTGGGCCATAGTTAACAGACTGGGCCATTGTTAACAGACAGGGCCATAGTTAACAGACTGGGCTAGTTAACAGACTGGCCTGGGCATAGTTAACAGACTGGGCCATAGTTAACAGACTGGCCATAGTTAACTAGGACAGGGCCATAGTTAGTCATAGGGAGTTGGGCCATAGTTAACAGACACCATAGTTAACAGACTGGGCAGACAATAGTTAACAGACTGGGCCATAGTTAACACAGGGAGACCAACGACCATACCTATGTCAAGGGGGCGTGATGAAATGGCCAAATTCGGGGAATAAAAGAACGTGAAAACGAAAGGATTGGGAGGAGCCTACGTCCTGCAGTGGAATGTTACAGGTGATGAGAATGAGGATGATTATTAACGATTATGATGATGTAATGATAATGATGGTGGTGGTGGAGATGATGAGGATGACGATGATAATGATAGTGATAGTGATGAAGTTAATAATGATTATCATTATGATGATAATGAATATGATGAAGGAACCCTAGTCCCGGCCCTCCTTACCAGAAAGTTCTCCTTCTGGACCTCCATCAGCGTCTCCAGGAACCGATGATGACTTCTGAAGTGGAAGCAGCCGTTGCTGACTTTACCGATGAACTGCTGGGCGTAGCTGGCCACGTTCCTGAGGGCGCTGGTGTCCTTCAGGCAGACCGTGTCCGAGTCGCAGTAGAAGCCCCCGAGGCGCCACACCAGCGCCGCCCGCAGGAGGTCGCTCAGCACCACGGCGGGGTGTTCTGCGGGGGAAGGGGACCTTGGGTATGTGCCCTGAGGCGGCTGAAGGAAAGTGAGAGCGGGCGTCTACTTCATGGACGTCGGGTTTTGTCTAGTAAGGCGTGGATGTGTTCTGGATTTCGTTATGGAATTTAGACTGTGTATTTGTTGTTTCATGCTTCGCTAGTGAGTCTGAAATGTGGGTTCGAATATATTACGTCATGCTTATTCTTTGGGCGTCGGTTTGTCGTAAAAAAACCTATTTGGATTTGTTCTTCTATTTGAGTGTTCATGTGGCTATGGATTTACAGTTCCTATTGTTTATCTAGAGCTTCGCATCATATGGCCTTGGTTTATTTACATCATGCTTATTATCATTTACTTTATTCATTTCAGTTATTGAGTTCATTTTCTATCTCGATTATTCATTTCAGTGTCCTTATTGGTGTTAAATAGTTATTGATTTTTATTCTTAACCTTAGTATCTAATCAGTCTTCACAATTGATGTCCCTTTCAAACCCATACATAGAAAACGATTTTAGACACTTTTTTCTTGGTCATTCAAGTTAAAAGATGAAGCCCTAAATGTTTTATATATATATTCCATTAATTTATCTCTCTCTATTTATATAGGTTTAATAAAAGTCTATAAGAAAGTCTAGAAATTGTCACGTTTTCAACCAAGTCTGAAGGGGACATACAGTGATATTTAGGGCAATTCGAGTGTTTAATTGGCTGTGATTTATTATGTCTGCGGATTATCTAGAAAGTCTGTATTGCGTGGATTTATCTTAATTACATTATGCTTATAATTTATATATTATTTGATATAATATTTCTTATTCATTTCAATTATGAGTTAATTTTTTTTCATTTTGATTATTCACTTCAATGTTTCTACTTGAATCTAACAATGTATCGGTTATCATTCTAGACTTTAGTATCTATTTACTCTTCACAATTGATGTGTATTGATAGATAGATTAAGAGAAGGACCCTCCCCCCCCCCCCCTCTGAGAGTGGTCAGACGTTCCTGGAGGTCACGCCCTCTGCTTCCAATCGCGGCAGCGTCTTGACTAGCCACGCCCCAGCGCTCGTGACCTTTGACCCGCTCCTCAATTCTACACCCCACTCTACCTCGAGTCGCGGCCTCGACCGGACGCTCCCCTCTTGGGGTCTCCACTCGGGTCGCGTCTCCGCTCGGACGCGGCCTCCCGCTGGGGTCACCCTCGCCCCTGACCGGCCACCCCCTGCCCGGGACTTCCCCGCATCAGCACGACGACACGCCTTCCGCCCACAAACAAACACATACACTCACAGAAACACACATACATAAACACTTACACATACACAAACAAACACATACACATACACACACACAACACATACACAGAAACACACACATAAACACTTACACATACACAAACAAACACACATAAACACACACACTAACACATACATACACACACATACACACACACACACGCACACATACACACACGTACACACACGCGCATAAATACACACACACAAACACGCACACACACACACAAAGCCACACATAACACACACACAAACACACACTCGCACACATACGTACACAAACACACACACACTCGCACACATACGTACACACACACACATACGCACACACAAACACATATACACATACACACACATGCACACAAATACACACACATACATACACACACACACAAACACACACATACACACACACGCACACAAATACACACACACGCACATAAATACATACACGCACACACACGCACACATACATACACACACATGCACACAAACACACACACACATACACGCACACAAACACACACACATACACAAACAGACAAACACACACACAAACACACACAAACATGCACACAAAACCACACACACACAAACACGCATACACATACACACACAAACGCGTACACATACACACACACACGCACACATACACACACACACAAACACACATATACACAAACACATGCTTACAAATAAACACACACAAACGTACACACGCACACCAACATACACACATACACACACGCACAAACACACACATGCACACAAATACACAAACACACACACATAAACACACGCACAAACACACACATGCACACAAACACACATACACACCAAAACACATACATGCACACATACGCAAACAAAAGCACACACAAACACACGCACACAAACACACACATACACACACAAACGCACACACAAACACACATACGCACACATACACACAAACGCAAATACACACACACGGCCAAGCACACACACACACAAACACACACATACACACAAACACACATAAATACAAATACACACACGCACACACACGCACACACAGACACACGCACACAAACCTACACACACACACAAACACGCGCATGCACACAAATATACATACATACACACACACATACAAACACACACATACACACACATACATGCGCACATACGCACACACAAACACACGCACATACACACAAACGCACACACATGCACACACAAACACAAATACAAACACGCACGCACACAGGTAGAAAGAAACCGGTAATTGGAGGCCGCCCCCCCCCCCCGCGGGAAGGCCCCGGGCGCCCACATCTCGACGGCGCACCAGGCGGAGACGCGCCCTGCAGCCCGTCTCCGTCAGGAATACGTTGGCCTCGCTCGCCTCGCTCGCCTCGCTCGCCTCACTCGCCTCGCTCGCCTCGTTCGCCTCGCTCGCCTCGCTCGCCTCGCTCGCCTCGCTCGCCTCACTCGCCTCGGCCGCCTTGCTCGCCTCACTCGCCTCGGCCGCCTTGCTCGCCTCACTCGCCTCGGCCGTCTCGCTCGCCTCGGCCGCCTTGCTCGCCTCGCCTCACTCGCCTCGGCCGGCTCGGCCGCCTCGCCGCCTCTCGCCCTCGCCTCACTCGCCTCGGCCGTCTCGCTCGCCTCGGCCGCCTTTCGCCTCGCCTCACTCGCATCGGCCGCCTTGCTCGCCTCACTCGCCTCGGCCCGCTCGCCTCACTCGCCTCGCCGCCGCTCGCCTCACTCGCCTCGGCCGCCTTGCTCGCCTCGCTCTTGTCATTATTTGATCTGTTCATTTGTTTATTTTTATTCGACTCTTGTCTTTGGCAAAAACGGTGGATTCTTTGT